CCATTAGGTCCAATAAACTCTCTAGGAGTTTCATGTCCCAGCCTTCCTCAAGCAGTATAGATTTGTCCCTTCAATGCATGTATTTGTTCTTGGAATTATCTTAAATTTATGAGGAGTTATGTTAAATTTAAATATGTATTTGGATCCTCCTGCTTGTTCTCAGTATTTCTAAAACTTGTATGTGCTTTCTATGCATCACTTCTATCATATGTCTCAATTACTGTAACACATCTTTTAAGCTCATGACAAAACTAATTTTCTCAGCAAGTGCAAAACTGCTTCAAATACAACTCCTTTCAGTCGACTACTTTGACATGTTACTGGCCTTCTTTCTCCACTATGATTGACTTGATTAGATTTTTTAAATCCTTCCAGGCATTTATTGACATATGAATTACCTTCTAATGACTACTCAGGCACTGAATCTCATTTCCATTCAGTTCATGATACCTATCTCACCCAAGTATTTTATTTTCCAACAGTCCTTAAATAGTGCCTTCACATTTAAGGGGGGCCTGTAAGCATCATTGTTTCCTTTTCAAGAGGCCTCTTAAAACTGATCTTATTTGAGATGCCAAGAACTCAATGATAGCTAGAAATGGCTAGTGTACTGAGATCCCACTTTTTCATATCCCCGTAGATTTGTCCCTTATCTCTTGTTCAAATTTCTTTGTAAATTGTCCAATATTGGAACAATCCTTTTTTGTTCTTTTTTGTCTTCTGAATATGGAATAGCACAATGTATCCTTTTGGATCTTCAGTACAGGGAGTGACATTGGTAGATTGTTCTTAGTACATTGTTCAGTTTAGAATGCATAATTGGAGATTTCAGCCCTCTCCCTTTCCCCTTCTTAGTTATGCCTAGAAAAGCTCAATGCTGTCATCCAGCTGAGCACAGTCATTAGCAAAAACTTTTTCTAAACATTTACTACACTATTTTTTTCTGGACACTGATCTCCATACTGAAGTATCTGAAGAACTTGACTTTTGCACATTTTAATGTAACTTGCATTTGMACACCTTCAGTCTGCTAGAGAGCCTTTCTCATGCTTGTGTAGTTGATGCCAGTGAGATTACTCAAATGACTGAGGATTACACACATTAACAAAATTTGAAAAARAGAAACCTCACCTTTTGAAAAGTACCATCTTTTTTTTTTTCTATTTTAATAAATAAGGGCTAAGAAGTAAGCATTTACTTTTTAAAATAGATTTKGTGATTTTTCTGATGTCAGAAAAGGTATTGAATTGCCACATAATTAGTTTTTAAATTAGCAYGTCTGTATGTATACTGCATCACTTTCTTAATAGATCCATTTCACTGAAGTACCAGAATATAATGTTTTAATGAACAGCATTTWTTAACCATCTAACATAACACTCCTTTATGATATACTACAGCAACAGTCTAGAAAATGCTGCTCTCTAATTATCTTTTACTGCTCAYATATAGAAATGACAGGTTTTAGCACCAAAGTATATATTCTCAACCTTTCCATGATTATGGAACCTTTCCTATTCCACTTTTAAACATTATTTTTAAATCTTACAAGAGCACTGACATTCTTCAGTACATATGCATACTTAAGTGCAAGTCTGGTGAASTGATCTCCTAACAGCTTAAAAATTAAATAGCATCAATAAAAATAAAACAATGTATTTATATTTCTTTTAGGAATATATTTCCTTTAGGAAGTAAATCAGTATGAATTATAAGCTTCACAAACTAATAAAAAATATTTCTTCCTGTGCTTTCTTTCTCATTGTTAATCTAAAATGTAATTGTAAGTGGCTTTAATTTCCAAGTCACATGTTTGAAGTTTTGATCCTTTTTAAGTCTTTTCAGAAAAACCTTCCAAAATTCCCTGCCCAAAGCAGTATTTGTTCCAGTTCCTTCCCCTTATTATAATTTGAGGGGGAGGGAGASACTCTACCCTGCCAAAAGGAGCAAGTCCAGCAACATGAACATGTGTTTTTGTTAATGGACTACTGCAAGGTCAAATATGTCTTTCTGATGTGATCCTAGCAAGGATACCGAAAAACTCCAAATCTGCATTTCTCTGTTTTATATCATATCAAATGTCATAAACTTTGCGTGCTCATCTTCCACTGTCAGCCCATGGGTTAATTTGGGAGTTTTWAAAATGTTTTAATTATTCCTATAATAAAACCTACGTGTTTCCAGAATTGGATTCTTAAAACTGAATTATGTAGTAGCTGCTGAAACTGGAACACTGGAAAAATTTCTACRGGAATGGAAGTGTTCTGTTTCTTGAATGTACTGCTCCAAAAGAGGCACCCCTTTGGGATTACTCTGCCTTCCACGAAGCAACAGAAACCACATAACATGTTAGATATAAAATGGAATATTCACATGTCTTCCAATGTTCTGAATGAAAACAGAAAAATCTCTTCTCAAGTCCCTACACATTGTTACAATTCTTAAATATATGAGGTGAAAGCAAACCTGAGGAGCTGGTATAAATCTGCATAGATCTGAGTGTAAATAGCCAGGTTTGCATAYACCTCATGTAAATATGCATTCACCTGAGAAAAAGCTATTCTCATTAATAGCACCAGTTTTCTCTCCTATGACACTTCCTACAAAGTTCTAGTAAGTAAAAGACTGGTAGAGACAATTCTGGGAACATGGACTGAGGCAGACTGCTAGCTGTTGAGAGAGTAAAATACTCTTGTACAAATACTGTTTCTAATGTAATGCAAGAAGTTCTGCTTTTTGGGGAACTTTTAAGTACTTTGACTACATCAGCTGAAGATGTTTTAAATTCCTTCTGTATTGAAATAGTCTCACCCTTAGCTTTTTGCCAAGACTAACCAAAAAGTTAGCTTAAAACAAGCTTCTCTGTAGTGTAGAATATGACTCAGAACCTATCCTATAGTTAAAACCAAGACATCTGTAAAARACAGCCAATATTATCTCAAGTCAAGAGTATGGGGGAGGAGTGAGTGCATTTTAAGACTGATTCCTCTTACAAAATTACACAGACGACTGCAGTTTTGAGACTTCCTTTTAGATTCTGTAACTACAAGAGGAATATTCCTGTAGAAAACTGAGAAAGRTACTGCTGTGTTCTTCAGAGAGGTGGGTGATCTTTTGGGTGTCAGGAATTTGACCTCAGGACTGTATGTCTAACTTATTTGATTATGATTTGCAACTCCACAAAATCTTATTGTATGCTATTTTGTCAAGAATAAGAAAGGACAGACGTAAATGACTTACCTAAAAATGAAAGACAGGGTGAAGAATAAAACAAGCATGCTATTTCTCATACATGAGAAACATGAATCTGGTGTCTTTCCCTTCTCCCCCTACCCAAAAAACCAAAAGGTGACAACTCATGCAGTGAATGACATTTAACTTTTGTCTCTTCACTTTCTTTCTACTTCCCTTGTAACACTGGCCAAACTGTGTTGCCTACTGTGTCATCTACTGACAACACTTCTCTTTTCCACAGAAATGGAATAGYTGTTCTTCAGACTTGGGCTTGATTCTGCTGTCCACAGATAGGTATCTAATGACAGTTTCATATGTCGTATAATACCCCACTCGGCCTTCAGCTGGAGTTCCAGAGTCCCTCATAAGTTCTGTCACATCTGCTATTCTGTGTACAYATTTTGGCTACCTTGGGAGATCCCAAATAATACTAGATGCCTCTTTGCAAGCAACTGTATCATGTCTTTGCTGTCTAACAACTATTCTCAGATACCATAATTGCTAACTATTGCTATTGTAATCTTCACTAGGAAARGGATGAGATTGCTGTGGATATGCAGGAAATAAAGATTTTGAAAAGATTCAAAAAAGTCAAAAGGTTAAACCCCATGCCAAACCATGTCTATGTAGAAACAAAATCTACAACCTTCCTTATCTGGAATGTTTTACAAATCCTTTACTTTTTTACATCATAAAGTTCATCAAAAACTTTCCTTTGAGGGATTTATGAAGAAAAAAATTTTAAGACCATTGGCTCTGAAAGTACTTGCAACTAATCTTTGCTGTAAGCAAATACTCCTGATATCCTGTATCCAAGGAATGTGTATCACGTTCACACAACTGCCATTACCATCCAACCATGTCTTTTCTATAAAACTCCAATCAAATGCAGGCACAGAAAAATGACCCAAGTGCTCTGGCCTTTGAGAGCTCCATCATCTCTGAGCTCTTAGGATCAAAACTAAAAAAAGATACAATTATCTTGCTAAATGTRCTCCTCAGATGTTATAAAATACAATTTCCAGGGTGGAATTTAAAGCCTCTAAAGAGTTCTGATATGCAAAGTGGTATTAAGGCTTCCCTAAGAGGTCTGCTGGAGCTTTGAGTTTCTYCCCCTGCCTCTCCCTGAACGTGCTACCACTACAATGCTCTAATTTCCAGCTGCATGTTCTGATGCTGCTGAAACTGAGCTGTGGGAAATGTTACTGCACATTTCAACTTCTGAAACACCTACTGGTGGACAGAACTTCTAGAGTGTTCTACTACTCTTAATAATACCAAGACTGAAAAGTCACCTTCTTTTAAATTTTTGCAGTAGATGAATACACAGAGAACAGAAGTTTTCTTTGCCTGTCCTCTCTGGATCCCAAGCTTGAAGATAAAACAAAGTCAACCTTTGAATGAATCTTTAACAACAATAAAGACACATTTAAGAAAGTGAATCAGGGAGATTCAAGTTTTCTATTATATTTCAGTATGATTTAATTAATTACTTACAGCATTTATCAACCTCTAAAGACCATTCCTACAGCAAGGTAAAAACTAGAAGAACATAACAGAACCAAATCACTACAAATTTTAATATGTAATGGGTCTTAAAAACCAACTTCAAGTGAGTACAAGTGCTAGCTGGTGAGGCCTATGGGATCTTCTGCTGTATTTTCCAAAARCTTTGGAAGTAAAAGTAAGAATCATTTTGTTTTAAAAAATTACTGAGAAGACATACTTTAACAAAAAAAACCAACCAAAACAAAACAACAAATTACCTGGCAAGGCTTTTTCATTTTAATGGCTATAACATGGTATCTGTAACAGCAGAGTTCACAGGTCCATGACCCTCTTTCACTTATCCACTTTAAAAGGCAAAGCTGATGCGTGTATCGTACTGAGCCATCACAGCGGCAAGGGTTTAACAATTCACCCTGGAAAGGCAATACAGAAACATCAACTTTAAAGTCACTTTTCACATACATGGACACTCCATACGATAATATTTAGGGGTCTGTAACAATGACCTGGTCTCAATTTCAATATGTGAAAAAGCATGTATTTTTTTGGCTGTGAAATAGTAAAAAATATAACTGTCTTAAAAATATCTATCTGCTTCTACTGAGAAAAGACAGAAAGCTGTCTACACATGTGTGTACCTATGTGAAATAACTTTTAAAAATATTACCACGCATTAAGCAACAGTACCATTAGCCCTTTGAAATACCTCAAAAGGTACCAGAAGTAGTGGGATACATTTCTCCAACAGCTATTTGCAGTCATCACTCGGAAAGAGATGTGTGACGTCACGATTCCAAGAGAACCTTGCTCTTGGAGCATGGATCTCTGCTGTCCAGCTAGGCAGATGTCAGGCAGGACCTTAAATAATGCAACCAAGCATTTCCCCCAGTAGTTTATATATTATATAAATCAACTGTTTTCTTCCGTCCAACTCCAAGACAAGCTACAAAATGCTAGTTACGGATCCATTGCCCGGTCATGCCATGACCGAGTGGATACTTAGAGGTCTTCTCAGCATTACCTGTAAACCAACACTCTCATTTTAAAGTCTAACAGAAACCTGAGAAATTCGTATTGTTTAGAGTGCCCAAGGAATGAACSGGCGAGCGCGAGGGCCAGAGGACAGAGGAGSGTGCAAGCCAGATACGGCAAAATCYCTGAATTCYCCCAAAGCTCTGCGCCGGCKCMGGTTTGCCCCAGGCGCYCSCCTCAACCACTTGGCACAGCGGCAGCCGGGGCTCGCACAGTGCAGGGAAGGGCGATTCCTGCCGGGGAGCGACGCCGCGATCAGCACCAGGGACAGGGCTCGGCCCCGGGAGCCGGGCGGTGAGGAAGGTGTGCGGGGTGCCGGCTCGCCCGCCCCCGGCCCCGCTCCTCACCTGCTCSGGGCCCTGGAAGCAGATCTTGCAGATGGGGCCGGCCCCTCCGGCGTGGCCGCCGCTGCCGCTCTCGCTGCTGCTGCACACCGAGCGCGTCTCGGGCTTGTCGCCGCCGGCGGCCCCGCTCTCCGAGCCGCTTCTCCGGCCCTCGTCCTCCTCGGGGGTGTCTCCGCTCGCCTCCCCCGCCCCGGCCGGCAGCTCCAGCGGGGCGGCGGCCGCTCGCGGCGGCTCCCCGGCAGGGAGCACGACGCTCCCCGCGGCGCAGCTCATGCC